GCTGTCTAGCTTTGCACAAGAATATGCGCTGCAAGGGCAGTACACATATACTGTATATAAATATATATTAATATACATATTTATACAACTGTTAAGTAGTTATGCATTTATCATTATGAAAAACTAAGGACCAGATTTCCTGGCAAAGTGAGCTTTGTAAAATATATATATATAATAATATCATAGCAGCATTGGCTGTTAAGCAATCTCTTGTGGGTTTGGGAAAGATGAGCCACAAAACCCCTAGGCTGGTGAGGATTACCATCTCTCTGTAATCTTAAAGGACCAATGTATAGAATTCAGGGGTATCTGGTGGTGACGTTGCAGATTGCAACAAATTAAATACTATCTGTAATTATAATATATAATAATATATTTATAATTCCTGATGAAGGACACCTACTAAACAGTTACAGTGAAACTGTCTGTTAACAATTCTTGATATCATACTAAATAAAGAAATAAATAATAAAGGTGGAGGACTTGTTGAGACTGGTTTATGTGGTAGCAAAGTAAATGAATGTCACCTTTGACCTATGTAGTTGTATATCTTGTGGCTTTAACCTCACCAGTCTTTAAGCAATTAAAAAATTAAAGACTAAATTAAATAAAGTAGATTTACCACTGCTGATGCAGACGATCAAGAGGACAACAGCAAGCTGGACTGCTTTCATTTTTGACTCTTCCTGGCGAGTTGATCGTTGTTTAAGGAACTGTAAATATTTAAAAATGTAAATTAGATCAAGTGCTGTTTGTAGAATGTTATGGTGAACATGAATCCAAACTGTTAACACCCAGAATACACCTCTTCACTGTGCTGTAGGTCAGTGCAGATGTGAGTAAAGATCTGAGGGTGAATCTGACGAGAGATTTAATAAATATCAAATACTAAACATTTTAAAGCTTATTAGGAATAATAGCTAATTTTTTATCAAATTTCTTTCCTTTGTTATTTTTTCCTTCTTCCTCCTTTTTACATTGTTCCTTTGTTCCCTCTCTACTGCCTGGTCAGTTTTTGTAAACAAATCTATAAACAAACCGTTTTACTAATCCAGAAAAGTAAAATAACACATATTTCTTTTTTATATTTACAGTGGATAGATTTGTTTTCATAGCAGCAAAAGACAGATATAGTTAATAATATGGATGGCTCCATTCATTTGGATGTCATAACAAGAGAGTCCTGGAACTGATGCACCTAAATAGAATCCACTCGTCATTACTGTGAATCTTCACGTCTTTCCTCCTTTCTTCTTCCTCTCTCATTTCTTTCAACATATTTGAAATACTCTTTCTCATCTTCCTACTCCCTCTACTGTTACAGCTTAACCACCAATAAACCTGGGACTTCATACACATTTTCTCAACAAATGACCTTTGTAGATAAAGACTTCTTCAATAAAGAATAAAGCAGTATCAAAAAATTACCTGCTTGTGTTTCCTGCAGGATAAAGTTCCTCTAGCAGTCAGGGTTCTTGCAGACCAATTTATAGCCTGGTGAGTCCAAATGTTGAACAAACAGTGGAAATCCCATTCTTACTACACACAGCTAAAGTAGCTTGGAACATGTTGTTTATGTGCTACCACTGGTTGTGCAAGAGGTTGCCCAAAAGCAGCTACAATGACACATCTCATCCAGACAAACTTTCCCTGTTAATTCCCTAGGCTTGGGGGTTTTTGGACCTTTAATGTCATAAATAGTGCATTTAAAAGCCCTGCACACCAATTTCGCTAGCTGGTCAAACTTTACTATTGAATGACATATAAAATCAGGGGGAACCTTTGTTTTACCCCTGCCCCTCAGACAGCCTGAGTCTGCCGCTGGTTCAGCATGTGACTGGGTATAGTACCCTACTGTGACACTATTTAGAGAACACTTAATACTCGCTGCAGGGGTTGCTGGTTTCAGGTGCCAACCATCTAACCTTCTGCCTAGGAAAGTAAATGTGCCCCAGGGTGGTTTGTTTATGTCCCACAAGCACATATGTGTGCCTCTCTCTCTCTAGTTTTCCTCCTCCTTATCCTCTTTTCACTCAACCACAACTCCTTCTGTTCCCCCATAGGACCCTGGTAAAATGACTCAAAACATTTATTACAAAAGTAAATGTTCAGCAGGCTTACAGGAATGATGAGGCAGGCAAAGGTCAATATTGGGAAATCAGTCAAACCAAAGTAAACAAATCCAAGCAAAAAGAATCCAAAGTCTATAAAACAGGCGATATCCAAAAATACGAAATTAAAAGTCCATACAACACTGGGAAACACTAGGAAATGGCTTTCTTGAGACACACCTCATTAAATATGACTAGGCTGCAGATAAGAACAATAACAAAATATTGTGAAACACGTAAATATAAAATCTCACAGTATATTAAATGAAAGACAAGTATGTAACACAACAGTGTAACATACACATGTACAGTTTTTCAAATGTATATATGGTGTACAAAAGTTCAGATCAGGAAATGGTTTTCACTATTTGTAGTTTTCAGGTTGGAGGTTCCCTACAGAGAGCTGAAGTAAAACCAGAATAGCCAGGTTGAGTTCTAGAAGTAAGAAAATCTAATTCAACATTTTTACAGACCAATGCATTTAAGATTTCTTTCACATTTCAATGTATTTTCAGTCACATTCATGCATACTTGTGTTATATCCATCTAGTAAAAAACATGTTACATGAAGTATTTCATATAACTTTCTGATACTGTCTATGCTAAGTACATCTCACATTTTACTCTTTTTAAGGCATTTTTAGATTTCAGCTCTAGATCATTTTTGCGGTTTTAACAAAACCATGGATGTATACCATTGCTGATGTAGACTATCAGAAGGCCCAGCTGTGCTGTCTTCATATTTTGATCATTACTGAGACACTTTTAAGATGAAAAAATATGTTTGTTGTTATTCCCTTGCAAGATGACCAGCTTTATAAAAATATTCACATTGGCGTATTCCAGAGGTTGGGAGTTACATGACTTGGTCTTGAGTCACAAATTTGATAACATAGGATTCGACTTGACAAAAAGAAAAAAAGACTTGCAACTCGACTTGGACTTTAATACTGATGACTGATGACTTTACTGAGACTTGAGCCTCGAAAGACTTGATACCTTCCCCCAAGTCCAAAGATTAAAAAGGCTTAATTCCTCAGATAACTTATGTAACTACATCTCAGTCTCATTGTTGAGTAGTAAACAATTGAAAGCCTATTTCAACTACAACCAATAGGCTGCAACTACCTTAGCCTATTGGCTGTTTGACAAAAAGTTAGGGTTTGAGTTTGTACATTTTTGGCTGCAAACAAAGGCAGTTTAGACTCAAAAAATGAAACTCTTTCCTGGTGCTGGTCTGGACAGTCAGGCTGATACAGTATATAACTTATAAATAATTTAAAGTCTGGTTGCCGTGACTGTATCTCAGTTTGACTGTTGAGTAGCCTATCAAACATTTTTACCTCAGCAAGCTATAAGTTGCAAACAATGGCTTTGAACTTAAACAGTGAATTGCATCAAAACAAACTGTCTTGTTGCACATCTAGACAATCATGCTGGATCAAATATATTATATAATATAAGTACTAAAGATAAACGAAGTTAAAGTAATATACGTACTAAAGATAGTAGTAGTAATATACGTACTAAAGATAATAGTAATACTAGTACTAAAGATAAAAGAAGTAATAGTAATACAAGTACTAAAGATAGTAGTAGTAATACTAGTACTAAAGATAATAGTAATACTAGTACTAAAGATAAAAGAAGTAATAGTAATATTAGTACTAAAAATAATAGTAATACAAGTACTAAAGATAGTAGGAATACTAGTACTGAAGATAACAGTAATAAAAGTACTAAAGATAGTAGTAATACAAGTACTAAAGATAAAAGTAATACTAGTACTAAAGATAGTAGGAATACTAGTACTAAAGATAATAGTAAAACAAGTACTAAAGATAAAAGTAATACTAGTACTAACAATAATAGGAATACAAGTACTAAAGATAATAGTAATATTAAAGCTGCAAGCAGCATTGGGCGGGACCTCGCCATCAACCTACGTCGGGGCCTGCACGGCGTTCGCCCACCGCAACTGCGCCACAGCTTTAATTTATTTTTTTTTTTTCTTGGAAGAATACAACTTAACAAAGATGCATGCTTTAAGTTTTTATTGTGCTTTTAACTGGGTACATGAAATATTTCATAGTCCAGCTGGAGTCTTATTTATTGCAGCCGTCCCAGTTGCAGCAGCTGACCTTCAGTCCCTGAGTGAATGCCAGCTTCAGACACTCGGCCATCTTGAAGCAGGACTTGTGGAAAGTGTTCTCTATGGAAAGAAAATCTATGATTAATTGCACTTTACTCTTCCTTTTGCTTTTTATCTGTTCAAATGAATTACAATAAATTAAACTAAAATGCTTTTAATAGAAAGCATTTCAGTAATTTTTTTCTTGGCTTGATTCATAATTAAAGGGATTAATAGTCTGGTTTTTACTAAATTGAAACAGGAATCCCCCAAGGAACTGTCCTGGGTCCTATCTTTTTTACTTTGTATAACAACTTTCCATAAATATGCCCAGGTATAGGTCAGATGTATGCTGACGACACTGTCGTCCATGTATCTGGCAAAACCTGTGACGCTGTTTGCAGAAAAGCTAACCAAAGTCCATCTGCTTCGCCATTAAAAACCTGTCCAAGGAGAATGACAGTTGGCCAGCCCACAGTACTCACCATGAGGGACAGGGTAGGTAATTTTGGCGCAGGCATCCATTTCTGGAGGACAGGTGTCCACAGTCTCCACACAGTTTCCAGAGTCAGGGGCCTCACGGACACAGTTGTTACACTGCAGGGCCTCACCTAGCATGCATAAAGACAAACAGGTGGAGGGCTGCAGACAGATACTTGTTTTGCCAAAAAAACACAAAAGTAAAACATAGAAGTTCAAATACATCAAGATCAAAATCTGATGCTTTGTTAACAAATTCACAGACCTACTAGGAATATGCAAAAATACATGATGAAATTTCATCAATGCACAGCTAACCTATCAATGACTAAGGAAAAACCCTGAGAAACACCAATTTTTTTTATTTCACATATTTATCATGCCTTAATTGGTAGGCAAAGTTGATTTTCTTTAAAAAATGCAAAAACATAGGTTTAACTTGATTTTACATGTTAAATATTAATTTTAACATTTATTGAAACTGAAGTTGGTCTTGTGCAATGGTAGCCTTATGTAGGCTTTAAGCTACAGCTAGTACTTTAAATGTAAATTCCACTGTGGACATTCATGTGTTACGATGCTCATCTGCAGGATTCCTTCAGTAAGTCAGTATTTACCGTAGGTGACGGCCACCAGGAGCAAGAGAGCGAAAGCAAAGAACTTCATTTTCTATTTTTCTGCTGTCTGCAGAGAAAATTTAATGAATCAAGTTAAAGGAAGTTACAGTTACCACTTTGTGATTTTATTTTAAAATAATTATTACTTCATGTAGAAAGTCCTGGTCAATTTTGGAAGTGACACTTACCGTCTGGACCTGTGCAGGTTGCTGTGTACCTCTCCTCTGCCTCCTCTCTCCTTTTATACCACTTCATTTAACTGGCACGTCACTGATAATGCTCACTGCTGTGGGGAGTCCATATAGCTGGAAACGGTTCAAGTTTTTCCTCACAAATGTTTTTTTTGAAAGCAGTCTCAACTGAAAGCAACTTATACTTACTTACTACCAGTATTACAATATTTAATACAACTCTAGAATACGTAGCATGCATTTTTGCGTATTTCACGACCACCATAGTTTCTCTTTCGTGCTTGGAAGGGGAGGGTGAAGTGAGGGAGTTACAATCTGCAACTACACCGTAAAAAGATAGAACTATTTATTGAGTTAATGTTTCAGTACATTTGTGCCACAGGTTCTTATTTAAGGTATCACACAGTACTGAAGGGGGGGTTCTGTGAGTCATTCTTAAGGAGACACAGATTTCCTCTCATGCTCTATTTTAGTCTTGTTATAAATATTATGAATATTGTCAGTTGTCCTTGTATGTTAAATATGTTGGTAGGATGAGGGTTAAACAAGGTAATAGATAAATGTGGTGTGAATATTAACTCCAGCTGGCACTTTGCTGTGTACAACAACTCGACATTTAGATTAGAAAAGTGTGTCAGCAGTCTTCTTTCCCATGGATCAGTCTGTGAAAGAGAGAGTGGCTGAGCTCAGCACATGAATTGAGTATTTCCTTCTTTTTTTTCTAAATTTTTTGACCTTGCCCCACAGATCGCTCATTTATACACTACTTTCTGTATTTTCTGTATTGATTGACTGTTTTGCCTCTATATATTCCCAGGAATTACAAAAGCTAACTGATGCCACTATACTTGTAATATTAATTACTAGCACTACCACAAACTAAAAGACTGAGAAGAATGACATTTTGCATATAATACACTCAGATGTGGCCAAGATCATTCCCTCAGTATTTTTTCTGGGAATTTGAGAATTTTTTTATCTGATGTCAGTATGTTCAGACAATTAACATATCAAAATTGGACGTCACGTCTCCACGTCCTCCCACTGTACAGAAATTAAGCCATAATATCCTATCCTATATAGCTTCAAATAACTAATTAAAGCTGATTTTGTAACATTGTTTTTGAAAGGCACTATATAAATAAAGTTATTATTAATTCATTTCCCTGATGTTATGTTCTGCAGAGGATGGCAGATTTCTTGGAAAATCCCATGATATTTTACAAGTACATGTAGCTTGTTCATTTGACACCACGAAGAAGCAATGAGCCCTGGGTTGTCATCACCTCACACGAACAATACTGGATCAAACGGGGACACAGCAGAACACTGCTGAGTCAACAGCTCCTACTAAGGCTGTGAATGCAGCAGGTGCACTTCAGGTCAGTAGGTACACTGATTACTCGTGAAATATTACCTGAGGTGAATATTTATGTACAGTTGCTTTGGAGACTAAGGTAAAAAGATGAGATTGTTGGTGTGTCAGAATAAATTCCTAACATCAGTCCAAAGACACTTCTCACACAGCTGAATCAGCAGGTGTTAGCGAAGCTCTGATTGGTTGACTGTCTGAAAGTTCAGTGCTGATGATGAAAAGGCAGACCGAGCTGGGACACTTTAAGTGCATCATTTCAGCCAGCAGATGCTCTCTATGAAACAAACTGAACAAATACAGAGGATTGTACCTGTATGATTAAGTGTGAGACAGTTACACATTACTAGTAATAGAATATTACTTTTCCCAGTAACTACTAGTGTGAGAGCACAGGTTTTCTCTATTTAATGTCATAAGAATTTGTCACAAATGCATCTTGATTAAAAAGTCAAAAAGTTTTATGATTCATGCTCGTGTGGGACTGAAGTGTGTAAAGTTGTATGAATGTGTCACGTGGACAGAAATGCTTTTCTTTTTGTGTATGTATGTGCACAGTCATCACGTTAACAATAGTAAACTGTTCATTCACTATTTGTTTATTTTTTGCACACATTGATATTACAGTATATCACCATTATATCATACATATATAAGACTAAGATCCACAACATATCAAAAGTAAAGAATGAAAAAGAAGAGTTAAGAAAATAAGATCACTAAGTATCAATAAATCAGCATGAAAAACCAAATAATTTCTCCCACAGAGAAATATTGTTCACTGTCACCACAGTTACAGTACAAATATCCATAGATTAGACAGGGCTGTAATTGATCAGCAGAGTTGAGGAGAAACAGTGTTATAGATATTAAATAAATTGTACTTGGTTGAAATTACTGTGAAAACACAGTAAAAAAAATGGCTGACATCTAGTCATATTATAAAGTGGAGAGAGAATTTGGTTGTGCAACATTTTTATACATCTGAAACAACAACTGATCGTAGGATGGTAATAATCTGAACACATTGGTAAATTATAAATGATTATTTGGTTGACTCGATATTAGAGAAATTCTGAACAAATGTAACCTTAAAATAAAAACCAAACACAAATATTAAAGTCATGGAGTTTTCTCATCTGTAAATTATAATGCATTGATTTGAGAATCCTGAGAGATGTGTAATTTTTAAAAGTCAAGGATTAAAGTAGATATTCTGACTTTAATACTCATTAAAATCTTTTGTACTTAATTTCAGAATTCATCTTTTAATCTTTGAGATTTTATTTAATCTCAGTTTATTCAAATTAATTACAGAACTCATTTTTGAATTAAGCCTTAATCCTCTTCGGTATGCTAATTATAGATTTATGAGGTTACATTTCTCAAGCCTGTTATCATCCATTACAGCTGAGCTGTGTTCAACAAGCTCAGTTTGGACAGGAGCTCCGTTCTCTCCTTTGTGTTTTCTGTTAAAGACATTTTCTGTTTCTTAACATACAAACGCCAAAGCTTTGTTGAACGCACCTCACGTCATTTTTAATCTATGGCAGAACGGGCACACTGGCACTTTGATGGCTAATCACATGATCACTTAGGGGAAACAAATAAGGCACGAGCATGCACCCACACACTAACATACATATTACTGTTGTCAAATGAAAATTTCTCCAAGATGTAAATTTTTCATGACCTAAGAAAAACTGTATTGGATCTTATATTTGTTTTTTGTTAAGAGGTTTGAATGCCTTTTCAGAGAACGGTTGTACAGCTTTGTCAACATAAAGAGATCTTTTTTCTCATTAAATCAAGGTCATGAAAAATAACCAAAATTGAAGTTACCATGTTTTCACCTGACAACAATAATAAACGCACACATACAGACAAATCTCAACTGACAGGAGCCCTAGTTTTAAATTTTTAAATATATATTTAAACCCCAACAGACATATTTTGTCTGTGCTGGGTCCAGCTGAGTTAGCATTTACACTCAAACACACTTACACACACCCATATATACACTTATAGCATGCCAATTACCATGGTATTGGCATGACTGGGAGCTACAACAGGTAAACAGATAAAGATTTTTTTTCTTTCAGCTTCAGTCAAACTAAATCTCTGATCCTCTGGTGCTTTTCAGTCACATATTAAGAATCATAGCAACATTACAACACTAATAATTACCTACTGATAATATTTTGGCCATTAACAAATTAAAAGACAACTGATTAAGTAGCACAGTTTGGCCAGGAGTCTTTAAAAAGAGACTACAGAAAAGAGACACATCCAATCAGGGTCACAAAGGGCAAACAAGTATCTCTGCTTTGTTCCTGTGACTTCCAGCCAAACATTTCATACCCGTTAACAACTATCGGTCAAAAGTATACTGAGCTGCTTCATTTTTTAACGAACGGAATGCTTTAGATGAGCTGAATTTGCAAACAGGTGCCAAAAAAGGAGACATTCAGAAACTTTAAGTTTAGGCTTTGGGAACTGAGTGGAATTTAAAGTTCAAAATAAAACCTGAGGACCACCACAGACAATGATTCAGAAATACTACTTGGCCTGGGAATTACAAGTGAAATCCAACATGTTGAGTCTATTTAAGATTAGGATGCCATTAGCGTGGATAGATGCATTGCAGCTACACTGGGTTTAAATTGAGATTTGACAACAGTGACACAAAACTTACCAGAAACGGCCTACTTGCTGCCCAGAAAACTGCCCTGTGTATCAACTTTCACCATATCCTGACGGTAGTATATGATACAGAAAATCTGTGAAAAAACTAAGGTTACTCCTCCTAGTGCTCCGACCCGCATTGCAAGAATTCAACGTACCTAAATGAAAACAACCAATCCGAAGCAAGAATATAGATAGTTGATTGTTGAGTTTAATTCCCAGGTTGTCATCTATCTTCAAGTCATCAACCCAAAGCGTCTTTCTATCTTTCTCGGCTCTGACTGGTTGTTTTTGGTCAGGCCTGGTGAATTCTTGCAAATGCCAATAGGAGCAATAAGAAGAGCCAGAGGAACCTGATTTTTTCACAGATTATTTGTCTCATATACTACCTGTCAGGATATAGTGAAAGTTTCAGCTAATATAAAAAATGATTTTCATAAAAGTTACCTACTGCAGCTTTAAGCTACATTTACACACAGGCATGCAGTAAATATACTCAATGAGCAAAGGTCCGACAAAGACATTGTTTTGCAAGTCACTAGTCTTTAAAGGCTTGAGTTAAGTCAAAACCAACAAGTCATGTCAGGTCTTGAATTTTGTGTTTTGAGTCCTAAACACACTTTGTCTGCCTGCTGATCTGCAATGACATATTTTTTTCTCCTACTCAAGCAACTTGATTGGCTGCTCTCTTACTGATTATGTGTGCATCAGTTGGCAGGAAAATAAAGAGTTGATTGGATGGCACTATTTCATAACATAATGTTTACTCTTTGGCCTTAGGGAGGATGACAATTCATTCCAAGCCAAAAGGCTACATCCCAAATCACAAGTCAAAGGGCTGTAGTGCCCTTGAGTTGAGACTGTTTTTCTCCACCAGTAATTATGGCAGATTAAAAGAACTGATTCTAATCCTGTAACTTTGAGAACTGCACAGCTTGTTGCAGATTATCCTTTACTAACAGACCACAAAACAGGGCAGACACCCAGAAACCACCATACAACTTGGACAAACTCCATTAGTGCTGTAAGTCAACTAATAACTCAGTAACACTCATGTCACACCAGTATCAATACTTGTTCATCATATATGATATTGTGTGCTATATGTGGGATGAATCTAAATAAATAAATTGGCATAGTGGCAGACTGAGAACAGTTGGTTGGTTTTGGCGAGGAAGTCAAAAAAGCTATATACAAAAGTAAAAAAAAAAAAAAATGTAGAAAAACATAAGGAAATCCGTCAACAAAAAGTATACCAAAGGCTAGAACAGAACCAATTTACAACTCCAACATCCCTACCTTGAGGACATGTAAGAACAATAAAAATAACTTCAAATCAATATTTGAAGTGTCAAAATGTATTAACAATATAGGTTGTTTAGGGTACTTTAAAAGGACAATGAAAACCCTTTTCCATACTTAACATGGTACAGTCTGAATCCCTTCTACTATAAAGCCTATTGGATGCTCTTATATCCAGTTTGGCAGCCAACACTGTTTCACTGAAGTTGAATATAACCAATAAATGAATTTGTAGTGGGTTAGCATGCTCCATATGCTAACTTAACTTAGGACCACAGCTCTATTGTGCTGTCAGGAAAAATAAATAAATACAAAACTGCCAAAAGTCAAATGTGTTTTACAGGGCAGGGATTAGCACTGTGACACAAACTGACTGATCCAGAATTCACACACAGGTGATGCCAAGTGGGTAAATGAATGGCAACAAATTGTAAGTACCAAACAAGACTACAACACACAACAACCCGAAGTGCTAATGCTGCAGTGGGAAACATTGGTTGTGTGGCAGCTTATACGGTCATGATTATAAAATGCTTTACTTCAAAACCCAGAAACCCATATGGCTAGAAGCCAGTAACATGTACAATGAATACTAACCAGGCCAAAGATCCACTGTTGAGGCAATCCATTTTGTCATGTACACCAATTGACCCTACCTATGTCCCACCCATTTTTGCTATGTGCTAGGTTTGTCTATGTTGAGAAAACACATTTTGAAGATGGTTAAAAGACAAAAGTGACACATACAGGCATAGTCACATCTTAAATTAGCTAGCTAATGTCAGCAAAAAACTAGTTAACTCGCTAGTTAATTTACATCAATCGTTAGTTAGCTAGCTAATGGTTTGCTTATGTTAGCTAATTTAAGATGTGACTGTAGATATGTTGCTTTTATCTTTTAACCATAATTTAAACAAGTTGTTTAGCGTAGTCCACAGCATATCTAAGTATAGGGTTTCGCTGGCTACCAAGTCTCTTAACTGTAATTGTAGCACACAGCGAAAGGACGACTTTGGAAGAGTCAATAAGAGAGTCACATTTTTAAATTAAAATCCTGCCAATGTCACTAAACACAATGACCTTAAAGTCATGATATACTCACCACTTTCCTGCTCTAACACTAAACTACTTTCATGCACCAATAGAGTCCAATCTTTCCACTTTGCTGTTTTTCTTGACCCATATAAACTGCTATCAATGAACCATATTTACCGCCCACCAATACTGGAAACACTGGATAACTTTTACTGTAAACATTTTGCAAAAACATTTCATTAATAGAAAAGGAGGCAAAGGGGAAGGACTGGAATACATTAGTGATAAAACCATATGACTGAGCGGTGAGTATGACATGTCTATTATTGGTATTAGTTAGCGGTGTAAAAAAATATTGATACACTTGAGTATCGCAATATTTTGTTTTGTGATATTGTATCTATTCTCAAAGACACTGTATCAATTAATTATAGTTTACATGCAAAGATTTGTGGCAGGAGCATCTATACATAGAATATATAGTACAATGTTTTTGTATTACTGAATATTAGACTTAAATGTATGGAGTTGTGTCAGCTGTTTATCCCGTACCATTAAAATCCATCTATTCTGATGAGCTACAATGCCAAAATCACACTTACTATAATGACAACAGTTTAGTCAATTATAATATTGTGACAGGGGAAAATGTCTTGAAGTCCCGAGGTATTATTAATACAATATTAAAGTCAAATATAGGAAGGAGTAAGCTATAAAGAAACATACATAAGATATCAGGATATAGCACAATGTATTATAGAGCTGTGAGTCCTAAACCAGGTCCAGGTCCAGCACTCATTTCATCCGCATGCACAGCTGTGTTTGGGTTCTAACACTAAATGATCTGCTAGTAGAACCACACAGCTCCGATTCTACCGCTTACTTTAATTACAGCATGTCATAGATTGTCAACATTTGGTACCAAGTTAAGCGTTTAGAAATTAACCTGAGACTTCCACTGAGATGCAAACTCACACCTCCATTCTCTTCATCTTGCCTCTCTTTCGTTTGGGATCATAATTCTAGGGGGGCACTTGGTAACTGCTTATTTTTCTGTAGTTATTATTCATAATCACCCTTCTCTCTGTGTGTCTTTCTGTCAAAGCTGGAGGCCAGTTTCTTTTTTTTGTTTTTTGGCACTATATAGAGACAGACTGACAACAGCACAATACAGGTATACAGAGAAAAACTGTGGACGTCTAAGTCCAACTGCTATTAATCTCCCTATAGAGATAAAAGATGATAGCCAAACTGTGTTCAGGCAGGGCCTGAGACACACTTATTTCAGGTATAAACACATGCAGTTAGGACTTTTTGCTGGGTTTGGTTGGGTGTAATGGGGTGGAGGAAGAGTCAGAAATGTACTGCAGTTTGCCTGTATTGCAGTGGTTGTGTGAGACTAACCCTGCATTCACACTGGGACCAACTTAATCAATAAATATTTCACTTGAGTGCATTTATGTCCTGAATGATACACTCCCTGGTTATAATAGAGCACTTTATAGAGCAAAAAAGGCAGCACCAAAGCCAAAGAAGTACATGACTTTGCCACTACAGGGGTTAAATGGGTCTCCACAGTCCAACCAAAGGGACCCAGGGTGAATGGATGGTAAGTCACATACTGTTGAATTTTGTGCTGTAAGTTGTTTATAGAGGGGCTATAGTGAAATGTATGTACCGTTTCCACTTTACGCATGGAAATGGGAACTCAGCAGCTGTCTAGGCTGTCTTGTTGTTAGGACACTGGCCAATCAGAATGTAAAGACTGGTGGGAGGCAACATGAAATGTAATTGGTCCACAGGATCTTTTAAACTCTATGGTGTTTTAATGGAAAAGCAGATGAAGCTGGTGGAGTACCCTGATGAAGCTCCTGATTGTCAGGAGCACGGGTGAGCTAAAGACTAAGTGCTGTGGGTAAAGGGAGGGGGGCTTAGTGGTGTTTCTGGGTGAAGGGGTGGGATTTAGGTAAAGACCAGATGCTGCTGGTCCAACAGGGTTCTGGCAAAGTTGTTGATTGGCCCAATGGCGCTGAGTGACATGGCGTTGTCCCGCCCCCAGAGCAGGTTAGGACCAAACACCACAGCCAGGTTACTGTTGGTCATCTTATTCACTTCACTGTTGGCTGATACCTAAACACATTTACACACACAGACACACACAGAGAGGTTATTGTCGGTACCAGACAGACTGTATGAAGGTTCTGGGAGGTAACTGGTGGGAAGTGTACCTGAGCCAGGAATGTGATGAGGTATCGCAGTGATGCGTAGTTCTCCTCTGGCAGCGACTCTACCAAAGTCTTCATAACGGTCACCTGACTCTCACTGGACACAGCTGGAAATCACCAAACAAAAACCATCATGAATTAGAGCTTAGTTAGGATGGGCGGATAGAAAAAAATTAAACGGTTCTTCTCATAAAAAAAAATAAAAAATACATAAATACATAACTCTGTTTGAACATACAGGTGAAGTTGACAATTTCATTGTAGAGCTGGTAGGTCAGCAGAGGCTCAGGTAGTTCCCTCAAGAACGTCTTCAGAATCACGGCAGCCAAGTGGACATCTTCCATCTCTCTGAAATTTACTGTCGTGCCTACAAAACACACAAACACGCAATAAGAAAAAAAACTCCATCTACATGTTAAGCACCACATACCAAATCTAACACAGTGTTGCTGTTAGTTATTAACATTATTTGCATTCTTCACAAATAATTAGGGAAACTGGGATTCAGTAGTGAAATAGTGAGTTGGTAGTAAGTTAGCAGTGCAAAACTGACAGTTTACATGCAAACAATCGTGGCAGGAGCATCTATATAAATCTAATATATAAAATACATAGTACAATGTTTTTGTACTACAGTAGATTAGACTTCAACATATGGAGCTGTTTATCCCGTGCCATTAAAATCCATCTTTTCTGATGAGCTACAATGCCAAAATCACACTTACTCTAATGACAACAGAGTTTAGTCAATTATAATGTTGTGACAGGGGAAAACGTCTGGAAGTCCCATGGTATTATTAATACAATATTTAAGTAAATATAGTAAGGAGAGAGCTATAAAGAATCATGGATATAGCACAATGTATTACATAGCTGTGAGTCCTAAACCAGGTCCAGGTCCAGCACTCATTTCATCCGCATGGACAGTTGTGTTTGGGTTCTAACACTGAATGATCTGCTGGTAGAACCACACAGCTCCTATTTTGCTGCTTACTTTATTTACAGCATGTCAACATTTGGTACCAAGATCACCTTTAAAAGTTAAACTGAGATTTCCATGGAGATGCAAACTCACACCTCTCTTTCATTTTGCACATAGTTCTAGAGAAGACATTTGTTATCTGCTCTGCTTCTTTATCTGTAGTTGTTATTCATGATCACCCTTCTCTCTCTGTGTCTTTCTGTCAGACACACTGATAACAGCACAATACAGATTTACAGAGAAAGACTACTGACGTCAAAGTACAACTGCTATTAATCTCCCTATAGAGATAAAATATAACAGACAAACTGTGTTCAGGCAGGGTCTGAGACACACTAAATACAGGTATAAACACATGCCGTTGTTTTTCACAAGTTAAATGTAAGATCAGTAAGATGAGCAGCTGATCTCAAAAATATCTTTTTATGCACAGGTGTGATTGAATAGAAAAAACCTCCTATTTCTGAAATTCACTGCAGCAGAGAGAAACTTTAAGCAGGCTATGAAGAAATGTCTAGCAAATAAAGACCTTGCACACATGTAGCTCAGTGTCTTCCTGTCTGTGTAGACAGGAAGTCCAAAGGCAAAACAATAGAGTGGGAGCATTTCCATGTTGCTAAAACTCAAAAGGTCAATTGAGTGGTTAAACAGGCCTGTGGATCCTACCTGAATTGTATCTGAGCTGGACTTCCTTCACCAGAGTCACATTGGCAGATCGTCTAAAGATCCCCTCGATTTCTAAACCTGACACACAGACAAAAGAACAAAATGGCATGTTTTACTGAGAGAAATTAGAGTGAACTAGTCAATTAGTGCATTATGTCTATGGTTGTGTTTCTACCACCACAAGAAAAGAGTTACCTTGGTCTGAAAGGAAACCAATGGTGTCTCTCATCACCACAGGAACACAGTCCCCATCTGGACTCCTCTGTCTGAGCCTGACACACACACACACACAC